TATATATATATATATAAATAATCATCAGATCATCAGTTATCATCAGTTATTTTTAATCGTCAGTTCGAATCTGCAAATTCTTCAATAATAATCTTGAACCATTATGATACGTGTGAAGATAGTGTGTTCATAGATTCGACGTGTTGGATAACAGTGTGCACACACACACACACTTGCATCAATCTGACAAGTTTTTGAGAATGTGTGATGAAGCGGCAATTCTAGCAAAAATGTATTAAATGTTTGAATAAGTTTTTGTCGTTTTTGAAGAGATGTCAAGAATACAGAATTCCAGACAACTGTTGTATTTGAGAGTACACAAGCTGTGCACAAGCTTTCATATTTAGTATATGACGTTTAATGAACGTGTAAACAACATTTTTGTCATTGCATTGAAAACGTTGACTTTTATAACAACAAAACAGCATTTGCGGAAAGTTTTGCATTGTTTATTATTAAGAAAAGTGCAGCTGAAAGTTATCGTTTGCTTATAGAGGGCAGCATGCTCCATCTGAAAAAGTGGTTTCAACGCTTTAGAAATGATAATTTCGATAAATGATAAAAGAACGTGAAAATGCATCGAAAAATTGAAAGATAAACAATTGGAAGCATTACTTGATGAAGATCAAAGTCAAATGCTGAAAGAATGTTTGAAAAAATTATTAGAGATATTAAATGTTGATTAATTAATTGTTAGCAAATATTTAAAAGCAAAATTTCAAAAAAAAAGAACGAAATTTATTCAAACACCCAAAAAAACTTCAATTATCGAAAAGTGTCAAATTCCCTAAAAATTGTTCTTATTCAAAACCTAATAATTTATAAACGATAGCGAAGCTATCGAAATGAAATTTAAGATTGTAGGGAAAAATGTATCTCCTATATAGGTCTCATAATTCTCTATTAGGAATTTATTTGAATTGAGGGGAAAGCCAAAAATGTGGCCTTCATTATTGCAATTCCTCTGTTACTGCATTTTTAGAATTAATAATATTTATAATAAATATTCGGGCGAAAATTTTTTCTCAGAATTTTTCATATAATTTTTCAAAATTTCTATATAATTTTTTAGAATTTTTATAACTTATAATTTTAATTACTTATAATTTTTATAAT